CCCCAAAACCCCAAAACCCCAAAACCCCAAGATATCAAATCAGGGGATAAAGACAGAAATATATAGATATACTGCCTTTAAATTCAAAAATATTAATAAAGACACTCTAAGTTAGGGAGATCATCAAATTTCATTAAATTTTCAACCACAATAAGAGGGTAAAATATATCTATGATAAAATAGTCTAATTTGTAGCTTTCCACTCGTTTTCTCACTCAACATTGTGTCTTAATACTTTCTACTGTTTATCAAATCATTTCATATTAAAACTCAGACATGCATGTACCCAGCCATAGCATTGATATAGGGATCATCAAAAAGCAGGAAATCATAAACAAAGATCTTCCTATTCTTGTTTCCCAGTAGGCAGGTCTGGTTAGTCCATACATCCAGCACACGACAGAGGTAATGTAAATGGGATTGTTCAGTTTGAATTTTGGAAAAACTACCATCATGGGATGGTATGCTGTAGGAAATACAAGGAACCAAGGCTAATGATCAATCACAAAGATGGACTTAAAACTCAAAAGGGTAAAAATGTGATGTAGGAAGAAGGCCAATTAACATAAATCCAGATAGTCATTAGGGAATTCAAACTCATACATCTTTACCATAACATCAGAGAGATAATAGAATATAGCGACTCCCAAGTATATTCGATACACATCATCTAGTCTATCTGCTTTCACAAATGGTTTAATTGATTTTTCACTTTTTGCCACCAATGTGCTTTTCTTTTGATTGTATGGATAGAGATCAAGTAAATTCAAGGCTTCTAGGAAGGTATCATACTTCTCATGTATCTAGTAGGTATTAACATCTTGTCTGTATATAAATTTGTGAATTAGAAATGCCATAGCAGGCAATAATGTAGCCATCTAGTAAAAATGCCATGCAATATGATGAGCTAATATCATTTATAATGTTTTCTTAACTTATTGATATTTATAATTAATTTATTTTGATACTAAAGTACTCTATTTGGAGGTAAGGGGTTTTGGGGTTTTGGGG